GATCCCAGGACCCTGGGATCATGACCTGAGCCGAAGGCAGACGCTTAACGACTGAGCCACCCAGGCGCCCCCTCATGCTAATTTTTTAAAAGTCATTCAAAGCAAATCATCTGGGCATGCAGGGGAGCCCAGTTCCATTCTGGTCTGGGTGGGGGGGTGGTTTCAGGCAGGGTGGAATGGATAGTGGGGGAGGGGGCCGGGCGGTGCTGGAGGGCTTGCAGCGGGACTGTGAGCGATGGCAGGGTGGGGGCAAGTGCAGGGTAAGGTCATGGAGAGCTTTGACGGATCAGCAAGGAATGGGGGCCACAGGTGATGGGGAACCATGCACAGTTCTGCCGCCCGGGGCTGACATGATCGGAGCTGAGCTTCAGGAAGATGGGGATGATGGAGGGGAGAGACAGGAGGAAGGGAGGCCGCGAGGGGCCATGCAGGGCCAGGGAGGCCTGAGGCTCATCCTCGTTTGACATGCTACTGCTCCACCCCCTTCCCCAGTCCATCCGGCGCCTGATGGAGGCAGAGAAAGTGAAGGGCTTCTGCCAGGTGGTGATTTCCTCCAACCTGCGTGACGGCGTGTCGCACCTGATTCAGTCTGGGGGCCTCGGGGGCCTGCAGCACAACACTGTGCTTGTAGGCTGGCCCCGCAACTGGCGGCAGAAGGAAGATCATCAGACGTGGAGGAACTTCATTGGTAACACAGTGTGGGTGGGGCGGGGGCGGCAGTGATGGGCTGCGGGTTCTCCTTCTTGGGCCCGGGTGCTCTTTCCCAGACGTGATAGGTGCGGATTCTGCATCCGCAGGTGTTGGTGTTCGGAGCTGGCCACGTGCCAGACGCTGTGCCGGGTGCTGGGGACTCAGGTGTGAAGGAGATAATCTTGGGCCCTGCAGAGCTGGCTCGGCCCTAGGAGGGAGTCACTGGACGGGAGTGGAAAGAGCTACCCCGGTGAAGTCAGAGAGGCCCGGGTCTAAATCTTGCCTCTGGCCCTGCCTCGCTGTGTGATGGTTCACAAGTGACTCACCCTCTCTGAGCACTGGATTCCTTGGTAGTAATATAATAACTAACATTTACAGACTGTGTTCTGTGTGCCAGACTCAGCCTCTCATTCTCTCAGCAGTCCCGTGAGGGCTATTACCTGTCTCCTCCACTTCATTGGTGGGAAACGGAGGCACAGAGAGATGGAGGTGTTTGCTCCAGGTCACACAGCTGGTAAACCTAGAGGCTGCCCTGATGACTCCAGGCTATTCTGTGTCCTTTATAAGTGGGTTGTAGTTGGCAGTTGGGAGGATAAACGAGGCCATGCACGGGACAGTTCCTAATAGGAAGGGCAGGTGGTGTTATTGCCACTCGACAGGTGGGGAAACTGAGGCCCAGTGCGGTTGAGAGGCTTTCCCAAATCCAAACAACAATTAAATGATGAGACCTACGAGGATGCTGGTTTTCTGATGACTCCATCCAAGGCCGGGATGGGGGGTGGGGGGTGGGGCGGCGCACTGGGTGCTAGAAACCCCCGTGGCAGGTGCATGGTGCGGGAAAGGGACCAGGGTCACTGTGTTCCCATCTGTCTCTCTCCTTGGCCTTGCCCAGAGCTGGTCCGGGAAACCACCGCTGGTCACCTGGCCCTGCTGGTCACCAAGAACGTTTCCATGTTCCCTGGGAACCCTGAGCGCTTCTCCGAGGGCAGCATCGACGTCTGGTGGATCGTTCACGATGGCGGCATGTTGATGCTGTTGCCCTTCCTGCTGCGGCACCACAAGGTGAGGGCGGGCGTGGCTCACGGGCTCTGCCCGGGGCCTGCCTCCCCCGGAGCTCCTCCCCGAGAGCTCAGGGGAAGGGGGCTGATCACCCCCCCTTATCCCGAGATGCTGGGAACTGATTGTGTCTCCTCTTGCAACACCTTGCATTGTAAAGGAGAGCAATGCTTAACCCAGGCAACGGATGCTTTAATGGGGGACCCTTACCTAAGCAGGGGAGGTTTTGTAGAGAGTGGCCGCTGAGATAGAGGATTTCGGGTCTGCGTGTAGGCGTGGGAAGGTGGGCGGGAAGGGCGAGGGACAGGGTCCTCTCTAGGTTCTGGCTCTGGATCTCCGCACTGCATCTGGGCTGGACCTTTCAGGGTCCCTTTTCACTCCTCCAGGTCTGGCGGAAGTGCAAGATGCGTATCTTCACGGTGGCCCAGATGGACGACAATAGCATCCAGATGAAGAAGGACCTGACTACCTTTCTATACCACTTACGTATCACCGCGGAGGTCGAGGTGGTGGAGATGGTGAGTGCCCAGGAGCCCAGGAGACACCACCCCTGAGGTTTTGGGGTCCTACCTAGCCCTCTTTCCTCTTGGTCCCAGCACCAATTGGGCAACCCCCAGAATATCAGTTTATGATGGTGGATCTCCCTCCGTACCTTATCCACCTCTTAGCCTCTCACATAGTCACCCAAGAGTCAGTCTACCCACCATCCATCTGTCCGTCCCTCCCTCTCTCCTTGATAAGAATAACCATGTCATTATATGTGAGGCACTGTCTCATGCACTTTATATATATTAATTCTCACAGCAACCAATGAAATAGATACAACCATCAGCATTTTCATTTTACAGATTAGGAAGTCGCGGCACAGAAAGGTTAAGTAATTTGCCCAACAGTACAACTAAGTGGCAGAGCCAGGATTCAAACCCCGGCAAGCTGCCTTCAGAGTCCACGTGGCTCGAGATGACACTACAGAGCCTCTCATCCAACCTTTCCCTCGGTTTATTTATCCATCCACCCATCCCTCTGTGTATTCATTAATGTATTCATTCACTCAACCACCCATTCATCCATATACGTACTCATTCATCACTGTTCCTTTATAAAATTTCTTCCCCTTCTCCATTCACCCAGGTAATTAATTAATCTACTCATTCATTAATTCACCCATTCATACACCTGGTCCTGCGTTGGGCTGAGGAGGGAATGAGCTGTATTGCCTTTAAGGAACATTGCCCTCTGCTTCGTCCTTGCCTCCCACAGCTGTTGTTAAACTAGGTCATTAGATAGAGAAGCCCTAGGCTGGCAGAAGGAAGGGGGTCTGCCTCCCTTCCCTTGGCCTTGCCCCTGAACTCATGCTTTCCTCCCTTGCCCCCTGTCACTGCCCCCGTCCCTGCCCGCCCACAGCACGAGAGCGACATATCGGCTTACACCTACGAGAAGACGCTGGTAATGGAGCAGCGGTCCCAGATCCTCAAACAGATGCATTTAACCAAGAATGAGCGCGAGCGGGAGGTGAGGTTGCCCTGGCTGGGCTCTGAGAGCCTCAAGCTGCTGCCCACTCTGGGTCTGCACAGTAGGGAGGGCCCAGGGCTCACACTCCTGGCCACTGGCACGGCCTTCACCCTAGAGCATTATTCATCACCCTTCTGCCCCTCCAGCCCACCTCCCAGCACTGGGCTTCCTAGCACCACCTTCCACACTGCAGCTGCACCTACCAAGCCTGCCAGCCACGATGCTGAGGGCTTTGGCCGGGGTGACAGGTCTCCCCCTCTGTATGTGACTTCTGGGGCCCAATGGAGAACAGTGGAAGCTAAATATGTGTGGATGATGATTCCTCAGGGGCATGGGCTGCGAGAGGCGGGGGGACAAGGGATAGTGTGAGAGACCCTGCCAGAGTGGGTAACAGACGGATATTTAGGGATGTAGCTAACGGTGGGTGTTGGGGGCACACACCTCCTAGGCTGTGGTTGGGGAGTTCTCGGGGGCAATGATGATGAGCCTCCCATGGGGTATGGGTGTCAGATCGTCCAGGTGTGGGTAAGGTGGGACCACTAGTCCCGGGGAGTTGGGATGAAAGCCCCACCTCAGGGAGTGGAGTCCTCGGGGAAATGAGTGATGGTACTCCGGGACTGGGGACTGAAGAGCTCTTGGGGGCAGGGGACAGGGTGCCTGTGGAGTGGGTGGCAGATCCTGTAGGTGAGGGTGACAGACCATGGTTGAGGGGGTCTCCCAGGTATGAATATTGTATTTCTCAGATTGGAGTTAATGGATCCTCAGGGGAATGGGTGATGGGTACCTTTTGGAGCTGAAAAGGATGAACACTCCAGGAATGTTGTCCAGGGGTGATAGTAAAAAAGCATAAGAAATGGCAAGTGCACTGACCACTCAGAACTGGCCCTGGGCCATATGCTAAGATAGAGCCCTGCAGGGGCCAAGTGTTAACCCTTTGGTTGCTGGAGGGTGGGGAGGTCAGGGGTTCTGGAGATGAGCTGGAATGGCCAGGTGAGCGGGGTATTTGGTATGGAAACACTGCGATATTCTAACAACTGGTACAGTTTCCAAAAGCGTGCGTCTGTGACAGAGCATCAGCTCTGGCCGTAGCTCTTTGCAGGGCAGGGGTGGTGAGTGACAGCAGAGCTGGTCCTAACCTGTGTCACTCCCTAGATCCAGAGTATCACAGATGAGTCTCGTGGCTCAATCCGGAGAAAGAATCCAGTCAATACTCGGCTCCGCCTCAACGTCCCGGAAGAGACAGCTGGTGACAGTGAGGAGAAGGCAGAGGAGGAGGTGTGCAGCTGGGGTGGTTTGGCCCCAGCCGGTGGGGGCAGAACCTTTGGCCTGTAAAGGAGTCACGTGCTGCCCCTTCCTTCATCTCTCAGGTGCAGCTGATCCATGATCAGAGCGCTCCCAGCTGCCCCAGCAGCTCTCCATCCCCGGGGGAGGAGCCTGAGGGGGAGGGCGAGGCAGATCCTGAGAAGGTGCATCTCACCTGGACCAAGGACAAGTCGGTGGCAGAGAAGAATAAGGGCCCCAGTCCGGTCTCCTCCGAGGGCATCAAGGACTTCTTCAGCATGAAGCCGTAGGGACCTGGGGGCTGGGGGTTGGGGGCTGGGGTGAGCCTACAGGGTCTTTGCTCCCCATGGCAGAGCAAAGGAGCAGAGGAGGTCCTGGTCCAAGACCCAGCCCAAACCTTGTCTGGGTTTCCCCATCTGAGAACTGGGGGGTTGGGCTAATTGCTGAGGGTCAGCACTCCCAGGTGTAGGCAGTGAAAAAAGTGAAGGGGGTGTGGTGGGAGAGTGGGATCAGTATGCACGGGGGGTGGGGATAGGGGGCCCAAGTCCTCAGTCTCTCCTTCTTCTGACCCCTCTCTTGTTCTTCTTTGCTTCTCTTGTTTCCTGAAGGGAGTGGGAGAATTTGTAAGTGTTTCAGGATTTTTTTATTCTCTCTTCTGGGTTGGCCAGGGTCCCTGCTCTCCTCACTTTATCATGAACCCTCAGTTCATGGTCCTGACCTTTGGGGTCTCTGAATAGCCCAGTCTCGGGAGGCCTGGGGTTGACCGGGTACCAGCGGCCCAGTGCGCCTGGGACTGGGAGGGTACTGGGTCCAGCTCTCCCGGTTCCTGCTTACGCGCCCTCCTCCCCTCTGCCCCCCCCAGGAACCAGTCCAACGTGCGGCGCATGCACACGGCCGTGCGGCTGAACGAAGTCATCGTGAAGAAATCCCGGGATGCCAAGCTGGTTTTGCTCAACATGCCTGGACCTCCGCGCAACCGCAACGGTGACGAAAATTGTATCCTGGACCTAAAGTGGAGGGTGGGGGATCGAGGCGGACGTCAGGGGCCCCGGTCCTCGCCCTGGGATGGAAGAGCTGAGCCCATTCCTGCTTCAGTTACCTCGGACCCGGACGCGGGCGCAGGATTCCCTGGCGCCGATCGCGACCCCCATTCCATGGGGGCGGGGGGCGGTGTGTGTGGAGGGGAAGGGGACGGTCTTTCTCCTTGACGCGCGTTCAGACATGGAGTTCCTCGAGGTCCTCACCGAGCACCTGGACCGGGTGATGCTGGTCCGCGGCGGCGGCCGCGAGGTCATCACCATCTACTCCTGAGAGCCAGGACCTGCCACCCGGGCCCGGGCGCGCCCGGCCGGCGGCCCCGGAGCCCTCGCCGCGCCCCCCGCCGCTGTCACCGTTTACATACAGACCCTGTGCCCGCGCCCTGGCCCTATTCCCCGCTGCCTGAAGCCCAGAGGCCACGCCGCTCGGGGCTGACTCGGAGAGGACCGCCCCGCGCGGAGGCCGGAGCCCTAGCGCCCCGTTGGCGCGTCGCTCCGCGGGCCCGGCCTCGCCGCACGGGAGGAGACGCTGCAATAAGGCTGGGGAGGCGCGGAGAGCGGAGGCGCGGGGCCGTGAGGAGCCCCCGCGGGCC